ACCTACATTGGATAGTGGGTGTGGTTGAATGTATAATATTTGTGAGATCAGATCATCGTGACGCAACCAAGTTTTGTCCATAGCATTTTAACATAAACTATGAATGAGTGAAAAAATTAGGAAGTAGTGTCACAGAATGGTTTCTCAGCAAGTTATTAGGTCTAGGTTATTTTGTTTTCTTGAACTTTGAACTTGTTCATTCTGTTACTAAGTTGTTAAAGCAGTTTGACGGTTCTTAGTTTTCTGTCAATTTACAGTCCTTTTTTTGCATTTTGTGGCATGATAATTTTTACCTTACAGAGGAGAATTCTGCCTAAACCAACTAGAAAAAGTCGAACAAAAAATAAGCAAAAGCGTCCCAGGAGGTGAGTATTTTATCAGCATCAAAAATGTGTATACCACTTTTAGAACTGTTAATTGTATGAGTCATAGTTTATAGTAACAGCAGTAAATACCAAAATTAAATATTGGTAGAGCTTATGGGGATTTTCATTGAGTAACTTTTGGTCTCTCCTCTATATAAAAAATATTTTAATATTCATTATAGAGATACAATATATTTGTATTCACATAGGCAGTATATAGGGCAAGGCTATCACAAAAGATGAGACTGTTTCCTTCAGTTCTTTGGGTAAAGGGTATGAAAGATGAGATGGAAATCATTAGCTTAGTACTGTGTGATAAAAGCATATTGTACATAGTTGAGGTGGGCTGAGATACATCTTTTCCTTTATTATTTTTGCCTGTGGTTTAGTGCTAAAAATTAGGTGGATTTTCTGGACCTAACATAGGTAAAAGTATCACTGCAGTTGAAGATGCTGGCGGAGAAAATACGTTATATGAACTGGTTGACTTGCAGGATATCTGGCATAAATTCAGATATTGATAGTTGGCTTCTTGAAGTAGGCCTGGTATTAATGTCTCTTTATTAGTACGTTGTTTCACAAACTTGTGTTATTGGACCCCTGTAGACATTTTCTTAGGGACCAGTTTGACAAAAAAATGTTCTAGTATGGAATTGCTAGATAAGGCAACAACCTTATGAAATCTACAACTTGTGTTATTATCCCGACTAATGGAATGGATGAGTAATCTGACCCAAAGCTTGGAGAATTTGTTCATTCCAGATGTTGTAGTAGTAGTACAGGTAATCCCTGACTTACGGGGTTCTGTTCTACGACGAAGTCGTAAGTGGGTTCTGATGTAGGTCGAATGCCTTTTTTTAAAAAAAATTTTATTATTAATATGTTTTGTTGTCAGTATCTGTATAAAGCTGATCTTTTTTTGTCTTTGGGGGTTGGAAACATTACGTATAAACTTAACAGTAATGGTGACATCAGCAAATTATACGCTAACATTGTACGTATTATATATTACTAAGGCTAAGATGAACAGAAAGGAACACAGGAGGTTGTTAATGTGGTTCGTTGTAACTTGAATACAGTGTAAGTCGGGGACTACTTGTACTGGGTTTTTTTTTTTAACTCAACACTGTCTTGTTCCTAAAGCCCCTCAAAATTAGAAAGCGATAGGAATCTAGTATTGTAAGTAGATGTTACTGTATTATCGTGGTGTGTAGGAAGGAAGGGGAGTAGTGGATGACGCTGGACAGTGAGGTGCTAGGGTTTCTCTAGAAATCGAATTATACGACTCAGTACTTTGAACTTATTTTATGGGTAGTTGGAGTGGCATAAGAATTTAGGGATGTTACTTTGTATTCCAGATGGTTTGCAAGAGATCAGATCATAGGGGTAAGATTAGATTTGTTAACCATGGTTTTGTAATCTCAGTTCTGACAACTCAGTAGTTAAATATAAAAGTGATCTGGAGGACTCAAATTAGGACTTAAATATAATGTACCCAACTGACTCCCAAATCTACCTTAATTTTCACTCATCCTTAAGGCTGTGTCTTCCAGATTTTCTCAGGTAATGGCTTCATTATGTTCCTAGTGACCTGTCTGTAACTTTAAAGCCGCCTTCCTCACACTAAGGTGTAGTTGGTTTAGGTGTTACGGATTGAACTATGTCCCCCCAGTATATGTGTTGTAAATCCTAATCCCTATGCCTGTGGTTATAGCCCCATTTCAGTGAGTTGTCTTTGTTATGTTAATGAGACAGAATTAGTGTAGCGTGTGTCTTGAGTCAATCTCTTGGAAAATGTAAAAGAGATTAAACAAGTGAAAGAGTGAGCTGAGATGGGATAAGATAGATGCCAAGACACATGGAGATCTCCAGGGAACCAGGAAGCAGAAGCTGAGGGGATAAGGACCTTTCTGCGGAGCTGACAGAGCCCTCCCCTAAAGCCAGCACCCTGAATTTGGACTTCTAGCCTCCTAAACTGAAAAAATAAATTTCTGTTTGTTAAAGCCACCCACTTGTGGTGTTTCTGTTATAGCAGTGTTAGATAACAGTGATTCTGCCACTCTTCCAATCTGGCTTTTTGCCATTAGATTCCTTTTTCCTGTCAGTCCTTTGGTGGTTATCTTCTACACAGATTGAACACTGTCGTTCCATTTTCTTTGGCTTCTGCTGTCTGTAGCAGGGTTTCAGTTGTTTTTTTTTTCTGAACTGCTTCAGCTCTTGGTTTAGGATTATAAAGTTGCATTGCGTCCCTGTAAAGAAAATTCAGACAACATTGGAATCTGACTTTAAGAATAGCTTTCATTCTTCTCTTTTTTTTTTTTGCTTTTTTTGTGTCTTTATGTAAGGGAGGTCAGATATTTGTCCTTTTGTGATTGACTTATTTCAAGCAGCATAATGTGTTAAAGCTCCATCCATACTGTAGCATGTATCAAGGCTTCATTTCTCCTACTGACTGGGTATATTCCATTGTATCTATGTACCACATTTTGTCCATTTGTCTGTTGGTGGGCATTTAGGTTGTTTCCACCTTTTGACACTAGTGAATAGTGCTGCAGTAAACATTGGTGCTACTCTAAGTTTTACCCACAGTCGTTAACAAATTTCCATGTTTGTGTGCTTTCCGAGCACTCTAAGAATAAGAATATGCTTAAGTAATGAGTAGCAGTGAACAATTGAGCTGGCTGCCTCGTCTGCTTTCTGAAAGGTGCTAAAGGCTTTGGGAAGTGATTTCCTTCAAGTTTGCTTTCAAAATTGGATTATATCTCTTGTGTGCTTCTGTGGCCATGGAACAGTTAAGACCTTGTGGCAGTCATTTGATTGCCATTGAAGTAGCTTCTGTTTAGCCATTTCTCAAATGTTAATTGTGTTATTGTGGGTGCTTCCAGATAGGAAATACAAATAAGTATTTTGTGATTTGCCGTGGGTGAATAAGACCCAGACAAATATTCATAATACAAGGTAGCTACTTAAGAGAGATACAGAGTGCCTTGAGGGTTAGTATAGAAAGTAAGAATTATCTCTTGACTTACACCTGACATCCTGTGGTGCGTCGTGGATACCCCAAAATTTTGGAATGAATTAAGCCTTCTCATTCATTCATCAGCCAGGGAGAGTATGGACGTGATTTTGGTATTACAAAGAGGTGTAAGGTTCCATTGGCAGTTTCCATGAAATGGGTTGAAAATGAATGATTGCAGCACAACAGTGTAGTGTGTTATGGGAATTAAAGGCCCTGCTTTAAATCATGGCTGTGCCTTAATGAGCTGTATGATTTGGGCAAGGTGCTTTCATGTCTGAGTGTTGAAACTTTAATCTGTAAAACTAAGCTCAAATCTGTTGTTTCAGGTTATTGTAAGGATAAACAGTATTTCGCAGAGTCCTTGCTTCATGCATGCTAGGAGCTCATAGAGTGGCAGTTACTGTTAAGTGTTGAGTATGTATTAGGTGTTAATAAAGACACAGGCTTGTCCTCAAAAAGCTTTCGATCTACTTGGAGATTAGTCAGTGGATGAATGGAGTGCAGTTGGGGAAAGTGCTAGGAAAGGAAACAATCAGGGATCCACACAGGAGGGGCCGCTATCCTAGAGCTGGGGTAGAACGCTGTCTTTGGGGGTGGAATGTTGCCTCAGTAGGATCTTAGAGAACAAGGAGGACTTGTCAGCCAGTGGAGAGGAGTGTTATCTTGGAGGCCAAGGAGAGCGCTTGAGTAGGGAAACCATATGATCACGTTAGTGTTTTGAAAAGATTATTTTGACAGCATTGGAAGGAAAGGGATGGTTTTGGAGATGACCAAGACTCATCTTTACTGGGTGAGTAAAGAGTTATCCCAGTAAACTAGCTGGGAACTCATGAGTGGAAATAAACATTATAAAAATAAAAGTCATCATTAATCTCCCATTCCTTAGAGATAATCACTTATAATAGTCTAGTATCAAGTTTAAAATAGTTGAGTGTTTTAAATCAGTTAATCAGCTGCTTGTTACCCTACTTCAGTTAGGTTTTGGTGTGATACGTTCCATGTAAGTAGTCTGTTTGAAAATTGGTGTTAATGAAATTTGCTGTTTACATTTTGAATTAAAGAGATGCCTTTCTGGAGTTCACCAGAGGGTAGGCGTTGTTAGGTTGCTGAAGTTTGTGCTTACTTTCTTCAAGCCGTACTCTGACAGCCGTGCACGATGCAATCCTTGAAGACTTGGTCTTCCCAAGTGAAATTGTTGGCAAGAGAATCCGTGTAAAACTGGATGGCAGCCGGCTTATAAAAGTTCATTTGGACAAAGCACAGCAGAACAATGTGGAACACAAGGTAACAGATTAACTTTTGTATTATGGAAAAGTTGAAAGACAGATAAAAGTAGAGTGCTGTATAATGCATCTTTCTGTTGTAAACACATGGCTAGCCAGCCAGTCTACTTTCATTTGGGTTATATGTGTTGAGTTTTAAATTGGAGAATGTTTTAAGAAATTAGATATTTGAAATTCTCTGAATTTGTAAAATTAGGAAAAATGTAACTAAAACAATTCCATGGTCTGACTTGTAGCAAGACTGTGTATCCTTGATAAATAAGAGACTAGGTGGGGGAGCGTATTAGGATCTGGGAAGGACCTTCACATTCCTTAAGACCTGGTAGAAAATACTCAATGTGGACAACCACTGGGGTCACTCAGTGGCTCTGTCCATGTGGTGTAAAGGAGCACAGCGCTTCGGTGCAGTGGTGTATAGTCCTGTCCCACGACATTGGAGATCAAGCTTGTCCCCAGTCTTCGTACTGGTGAGGGCATGGTCCTGTATATTCCTTATCTTCTCGGTACCTAGTTGTTGAGGAGAAAAACCATACAGGGCACAATTTCATAAAAGCCGCATGTTTTAAGGTAGTATGTATATTTAAAAGTTTTTGATGAGTTATTTCTTTTCTTGTAGGTTGAAACTTTTTCTGGTGTGTATAAGAAGCTCACGGGCAAGGATGTTAATTTTGAGTTCCCAGAGTTTCAGTTGTAAACAAAAATGACTAAATAAAGAACCATTCACAATATTCTGTCTTAGGAATGTTTTTCAAAATTCCAGAGACAAGAACGCACTGAGCTGTCTACATTACCGACAGCTTCCTACAACAACCAAGAGACGTAAGATGTTGCAGCAAGTGAAGACCTCAAAGCGTGGAAGATTTTGAGCAGAGTGCCTGTATAGTTTGTGCGAGAACGTTTGGTGCGTGTGAGGATATGTTTGTAACCAGTGATGTTGTAATAAGTTTAATCATAAGAAATGGCCAGAAGTGGTCAAATATTGGCACTTTAACATGATTCAACCTAAAAGTGTACAGGTACTCTGAGGTGTGGATAATAGGCAAAAGTTTGCCCAGAAAGGAATGGCTTAAGTCTTGGACTGATAAAAGCAACAGAGCATAAAGGGTAAAGATTCCAGGTTTCAGAATTGTGCTTGCATCCCGTTTGTATGATGGATACGTATACGTACTCTGGAGGGCCTACAGGACAGTGCTTTCCTTTCGTTTTGGGCCATAGTTCTGTTGACTGAAGTATGTGGTAAAACATTGATACGTTAAATCCCCTTCCTAGCTCCTGGCACAATGCTTTACTTCAGGAAGATGATGCTGTTTGTCCTGGGAAGCCATACAGAGAAATAATTTGCCTCAAGAGAAAGAGGACAGTTTCCAGTAGTACCCAAAACAGGCTAAGAATAGTTCCTAGAAAACAGTGATAGAAACCGTTTTTTCCCCGAGAGTAAAGTCTGGCGAGAAAGTGTTTTTTTGTTGAATTTTTATATTTAAATTCATATTAAGTCTTCAATGTACTTTAAAAATTGAAGTGTAGGAGTACAATTAATACACTCAAAATGATGTATGGTGAAATCTGTGAGAGCTTTGTTTTTCCTGGTCTCCCAAGTGTTCCGCCTTTGACAGGGTGCAGTCTTATACTTTTCTGTCGCTTATTTTAGTGGAAAATACTTGCGTTTTCCTTCTGCCTTACACAGTTTGCAGCTTTTGCAGGTTTTTACTGTATAAAGTTAGGGTGAGTGAGCTCTTCAATTCTTGGTTTCCAGTCCAGGAATTGAAAGCTCTAGATGAGAAGTAAGCTCTGAAGTTGCGATTCTGGAGCAGCGTTCAGAGAACCAGAGTTGTGTTGGGTTGTGCATTACAAGCAAATTGATGGGATTTTGATTTGCCTTGGTGCCAAGTGGCTTTCAAGTATTGGAAGCTTTAAAATTACGTGCATAATCTGCCTCCCTGCTTGCATAGAATGAAGAAACATTCACAGGTATGTCAACCCCAAATAACTTGTTTTACATCAAATCAGCCCTGTATGTGGATTAGCTCATTTAATCCTACTGGTGAGGCGAAACTGTAGTATCCCGTTTTGCAGATGAGGCTGCTAAGATTTAAACCTTTATCTCAGAATCCTGATTCTAATTTACAGGCTAGATTACATAGTGATGGAGGCACATTAGATGTTCTAAAACTAGTAATTGAGGCCTTGGTAGATTACAGGGTGAGTGAGGAACGGGGCTTCAAACTGGTTAGTTCCGGTTTAGCCCTGCTGAGAATTTGCATTTCTGACAAGTTCCCAAACCCAGTTGATTCCAGCTCACAGTGACCCTACAGGACAGGGTAGAACTGTCGAATCATAATTCCAAGGAGCGGCCGGTGGATTCGAACTGCCAGCCTTTGGGTTAGCAGCTGAGCTCTTAACCACTATGCCACCAGGTCTGTGACAAATTCTTAGGTGATACTAATGCTATTTAGGGAGTAGGGACCAATTCTGAGAACCATTAGCAGAGCAGTGGTTTGCAAAATTAATTATACATAAGAATCACTTCCAGGTGATTTAATTGTAGATTATTAAAGATAATATTTATTATATACATATTATATATATAACATTTATTATACATATGAATCACCCCTGTATAATAAATTTTTCGAGCCACTGCTATACTAGTGGTTCTCAGAATTGGTCCCTACTCCCTAACCAGCGTCACCTGGTACCTTACTAGAAATGTAAATTCCGTGGTGGGTGAGGTTGAACAAACTGGTTTGAAGCCCTCATGAGGAAGACCCCTTGTGCCATCTGTGGCCAAGAACTTTGTTTTTTGTCTCTACGGTGTTCCCTTTACCGCTTTCTCGTTCCCACTGTCTGCCCTATTTTAGTCCTGTGATCATAGCCACGGAGTTCCTGGGTGGTGTAAACGCTTAGCATGCTCAGCTGCTAACTGAAGGCTGGTTTGAGTCTACCGAGAGGCGTCTAGGAAGGAAGGCCTGGTGATCTACTTCTGCAAAAATAAGTCATTGAAAACCCTATGGGGTGATTCCATGAGTTGGAATGTTTGCCACAGCTGTGATCATTTCCCCTTTTTACAAATAGTGGCTCCTAGTTTCTGTGGATGGAAGTATGATCTACTTAGCCTGGCTTTACTTAGGCCTGGGGTGATCTGCTACGAACCTGTCTACTCACTTCCCAGCATGAAGCTGTTTCCTGAGGATCCCTGCATGTTTTGTTTTTGCAGTAGGCCTCTGTCTTGTCCTGTATATCATTTTTTCTCCCACAATGCTTGGTATATATTTAATATTCAGTAAATACTGGGTTAGCATAAGGAAGAACTCACTTTTCATGGCCATAAACCTGAAAACTGATCAGATGTGCTCTAAGTGGATGCATATTTTTACTTGGACATAAGCCTATGAAGATGGTGGTTACCATTCAGCCCTGATCTCGTCTGTAAAATGAGATACTTATTCACAATGTATATTAAATACCTAAAACAATTGGAATTGAATTCTTAAGTGAGGGGTAAGATGGGAGAATGAATATGAAATTTGCTAAAATCACAGGTTTACTACTTTGGGAAACAGGATCCATCAAGGTATTCTAGAATGTTGTATATTTTTCTTTTAAAAATATTCTGATTATGTTCATCTTTTATATCAGTATTTTACCTAGTAGATTAAACCAAACAAAAATGTTACCATGAAAAGATGAAGTTTTTTTTTAATTGTACTTGAGGTGAAGGCTTACAGAACAAATAGTTTCTCATGAAACAGTAGTACACATTGTTTTATGACATTGGTTAACAACCCCACAACATGTCAACCTTCTAACTTCTCAACCTTTTTTTTTTTTGGTGAAAATACACATAGCCAAAGATACACCATTTCAAAAATTTCTACATGCACAGTTCAGTGACATTGACTACGCTCTTCCAATTGTGCTGTTATTTTCACTTAAGATGAAGGCTTACAGAACAAAATAGTTTCTCATTTAACAGTTACTACAAATGTTGCCCTATGACAATGGTTAACAATCTCACAACACATCAACAGTATCCTTACTCAACCTTGGGTTCCCTATCGCCAGCTTCCTTCTCCCCTTCTGCCTTCCGGCCCTTGTCACTGAACTACCGTACCTTGTTAGTCTCATTTGGTTTTACAGGGCTGTCCACTCCCAGGCTGAACGGTGAACCTCGGAGATAACTTTACCACTGAGCTGAAAGGGTGTCTGGGGGCCATACTCTCGGGGTTTCTCCAGTCTCCTTTAGGGCAGTAAATCTGGTCTTTTTTTTGTGAGTTAGAATTATGCTCTACATCCTTCTCCAGCTGTGTCCAGAACCCTCTATTGTGATCCTGGTCAGAGCAGTCAGTGGTGGTAGCCGGGCACCATCTAGCTGTACTGGACTGAGTCTGGTGGAGGCCTTGGTAGCTGTGGACAGTTAGTCCTTCGGACTAATCTTTTCCTTGTATTCTGTTCTCTAAAGATGAAGTTTTAACGTGAGAAAAAGTTGCTTTTTGAAACTACTTTGCGCTAAGGGATAAGCATATTTTAAAATCACCACTGGGAAATGCCATTATGTAGTTTAATTGGTGAAAGTAATGTGTGTTAAACACGCAAGATACCTGCATACCATAAGAACTGGGAAATAGAATATCCTAACCCACTTAAAACTTACAAAGAGTTTCAGTGGGCTTTGAATCCATTTGTTAAGAAATACGCAGTACCTTCCAGTAACTTTGCAAGAACAAAGAATACCAGCGAAGATGGAAAATTTTGGCTTACTTTAAGCAAAAATGTTTGTAAAATTGCTGAGTGGCAAGTATAACCAATGATATGCTTCATTTGGGTCTATCATTGTGAGGGGTCTGTTTAACGTTTTGTAGTGAAATTTTTCAATTACATACACAAAAGTATTAAAGTATAATGAACCTCTGTGTACCCATCACCCAGCTTCAACAATTACCAATATTTTGCTAATCAACAATGATCAGTATTTGCTAATCTTGTTTGATTTATTCCTACCCCACTTTTTTTGCTGGAGATTTTTTAAAGCAAATCCTAGACATTGTTATTTAAGAATCTTTTAGCAATGATTATTATTGAAATTAAGTGTCAAAATAAATTACACTTAGAACCAGCCGTGGTGACCCAATGATTAAGTGCTTGACTGCTAACAAAAAAGTTCAGCAGTTGGAACCCACCAGTTGTTCTACGGGAGAAAGGTGTGACAGTCCGCTTCCTTAAAGTTTACATACAGCCTTGGATACCCTATGGGGCAGTTCTATTCTATCCCGTAGGGTAGCTATGAGTTGGAATTGATGGCAGTGGGCTTGGTTTCTTTTTTTTTTTTTTGGTCATATGACAAAGTGTTAAACTAACATTTTCAAAATCAATGAGTCAGTCAGATTGCTTTCACTAAAATCAGTATTAGTGAACAAAAGTATGTACCGTTATTTTTATCCATTAAAATTTCTGTCTTGTATGTTTACAATGTACACACTTAGTTCTATGGTACTTTTCAGAATATTAATAACTACGTTTGTTGGAGGTGCAGGCTTAAAAATTTTA